CATTTTAAGCCTTAATTAAAAATCAACAGTGCTTTAGAGCAGTGTTTCCCAAAGTTGGGGTTGGGACCCAAAGTGGGGTCCCGAAACATCAAGGTGGGGTCCTGAAAAGATTTTATGAATTAATTACATTTTTGCCTTAGTTGTTACAAATGAGTGAGGTTAGTGTGTTTAAAATGGATGAATGTAGCATAAAAAATATTGTTACTATGCCCATGTTTAGTTGACCTGATACAAATGTTTATCATCCAAAAATAGTTGGGGGTCACAGGTCTCTGCTACTGTTTTGTACTATTCTGTGGGTCAAAAGCTGAAATGTTTGGGAACCACTGCACTTTGGTTCCCAAAGTTGGGCTTGGGACCCAATTATGGGTCATGAAGCACCTTGGATAATCTCCAGAAATCAATTTAAAGGGTAATAAAATAATTGCTGATGTAATATATTCCCTATAATTATTACAAAACACAAAATAAGTAAAAATAAGTATTTATATTTGTGTAAAAGCTGCTTAGATTGTCAAAAAGCCTGTGTTTTTAGGGTTATTAACGAAGTTCATGTACTCAGACCAGTAHTATTTGAGGTCACAAGTTTTTGCCATGGATATTTTGTGGGTCAGAAGACAAAAAGTTTGGGAACCACTGCTTTAGAGAATCAATACAATATGGGAAAATTAAATATTGCAATATTTCAGCGAATTGACATTTTCTTACACCCCCAGTGAATATCTCAACAAACACCACGTCAGATTAAAAGTTGACCATTAAGTTGCTCTTTTATATACACAAACCCATAGCAACACATTAAAAACCAGGGGTGCCCAAATCCTGGTCCTTGAGGACCACCATCGTGCATGTCTTATATGTAACCTTGTTCAAGTTATTCAGAAGCTTGTTAATTACCCATTCATTTAAATCAGGTGTGTTTGAGAGAAACCTTTAAAACATGCAGGATAGTGGTCTTTAAGGACCTGGACTTGATAGTTGACAGTTTTCTTGTAGTTTGGACTTATTTGCACTTAAACTGCAAACGAGCCGATTGGAAATGCATCAAGAATTTTAATGACAGTTCTCACACACCTTGGCTGCTCAAACCAAAACAGACAGATTTGACTGAATTTGATTCAAATCACAAGAAGCACAACATGATGCAACACAATGCTCGACGCTGTAACACTCTTAGTGAGACTTAGAGTAATACCACAGTGCCACATGGCTAGACACGAGCAAACGTGCAGTACGAGTTTGGTTTCCTTCATCTACAACAGTATTTCTCAGCACTGTATTCAAGGTTCAGTCTCACTAATCTGGTTTTCCTTTTGGGGGAAAAGACTATGTTCAACAGGACAAAACTATTACACATCTGACAAGCAACGACTCAGTTTGTGCACCCTGTTGGGTCACTGGCTCTTGCAATGTTCCCTACTCAGCCATAACAATACAACTCTGATGCCAGCATCTTTTATTGGCCACTTGGCTGTGGACCATGGGAACCAAGCTCCAGAGAGTGAGAAAAAGCAGACTTTTTTTTATTTTCTGCACAGTAATACAAACATCTAACAGCAGACAACTGGAAAAACTCTGTTTTTGGCACAAAAGCGTGAAAAAAAAACCCCAATTGTAATTGTTTCATGAAGGGCGTAAAATGACACAGAATGATACTGGAAAACTGAGGCAGAGAATATTTGGCCACTGGAGTGATTTTCAAAAACAAAGCTTGTTCCACCTGTTGAGTTTCTAATGAAAAACATCACACTTCGTGTAGCACTTGTGACAGCTTCTGTCAAGATGAGAAAGCCAGGAGGTTGTGAAGATTTTCTACAGCTGTTAGAGAGAGAGAGCGTTGAATTGACAACTTTGTGARCAAAAATCGAAGAAAGCTTCATCCTGACATTTACGGGCAATTTTTTAAAGGTGAAAACAAGGCTTTGATTTTCAAAGCACCTGACTTAGTTTCATCTTTCTCTGAAAAACAGCCCGAGTTAGTGGTCAAACTTCAATGAGTCAATTTCAGTGGGTGGACACGATTACAGTGTTTTAGCCTGCTACTAAATCTGGGTTGGGTCCTGCTTTCAAATCCACCCTGTCTAATCATAAAGTAGAGGCTAACATAAAAAAAGCAGGCCCTCACAATTGTATATAGTTTAAATTAACYTTTTAAAGTAAATGTAGACCTATTAAATAAATTTATTGTTTTAGAACATCTATGAAGGAGTCATGACATAATTATTTTTTTTTAATGTGGATCTAAACTGGAAAATTTCCAATAATCTGCAGAACTGTAATCAAGCAAACCTTTATTTAGAAAATGTTGCACAATTTCCCGGGTATCCTGCAGTCCAGATGATCGGGTTTAAGGGTTGCCTGCCTCTGTTCTGAAGTGCCACTTCTAGAACTGGACTGGTATTGTACAACTGCCACAAACGATTATTTTTATAGCCGATTAATCATCGATTATTTTTTTGATTAGTCGACTAATCGGATCATATGTTAATTGAATATAAAACATACAGCTTATCACGCCAGAATGCAGCTGCTATTATATAACAGTCGTTAGATTTTAGCTATATGCTAACTAAAAATAATTGCTGTGGAAGGCAAGTTCTGCTCTGCAGATATTGCACAGGTTTCTCTTTCATTTTCTTAAAATGATCCCACACTTTTGAGCTCCATTGCCAGGTAGCCATGATACCAGAGCCTGTCTGTATAATGTCTTGTGACGTCCACGGCCTACCCCAGTTACCACTACTGTGCATGTGTGTCAAGGACAGAAAGAAGGCAGATGTGGCAGTGGAAGCTGTCAAAGCAGTTTGGAGAGAAAAACAAAGTAAAGAACAAAAATCGATTAAAATTAAATTATTAAATTAGTCATGGATTATTTTAATAATCGATTAGTCGTCGATTAATAGACTAATCGTGGCAGCCCWATGGTATTGGGTGTGTAGTTTTTGGCCAGTAGCTATAAAATGAGAGTTGGCAAAGCCATATTAAAACTAAAGCTGATGTGAGGAGACCTGGTATAAATTTGATAAATAAGATTGGGTAGTTTATCGTCAACAATACTACGCAAACATAAATTGGCCAATCAATTTATTCATCTCACTCATTCACTTGTAAAACTGATCTAAAAAACTGCAAACAACCCATGACAACCTTATTATTTCTTAATAAGTGAAGAAATTATATACAGTATCTACATAAACATTAAACCACAAATCAAACCCAACTACAAAATAACCTGCAAATAATTMCATCAATATTTAATAGTATTATGTTTGACATGTATTGTATATTAAATAATTTGTATCACCCAGATTATTACATAATTTCACTCCATATGTCTGCTCAAATGTATTTTTTGCAAATACACTTTTAAAACCATTTTATGAGTTCTTTTTTGACTGATCTTTAGAAATTAAAGGCAACCAGTTCCTGATAAACACCATCACCGATTCATTTGTGGCCAATATATATTTGTCAATTAACAAAATTTACCAACATTTGCTTAACTTACACAAATGTATTCCCGTCATTAATATTTCTCATCTTGACATTTGCTGAGTGGTACATGAATTGTGACGTAATGTGACGTGTTCCAGCAGGAACTCAATTATTAACAACACTTAGCAGAACTGGAGCAACTAAAGACAACACAGAAGAGTATTCTGACTTTAAAAAAATAAATAAATTGTGGGAAACAAGGTGATTGCAGCAGCTGCTGATGCATCTTCATTGTCCTACATAAKTGATTAATTATGTACAGGTGTGACCACTCAGTACTTGATGTAAAATTGTTTTTAGGAGAAATATGCCCTGTGTTTGTTTTCACTTATTGGTTATTAAAGTCTTTTTAAAAGAGTTTAAAAATAAACACAAATCAGTTTATTATTTTTCTATAGTACTAATAAAGATTAAACATACCATTTTACCAGAAAACGTAAGATTTAGTTTCTCCTTTTTGAAATTAACTAATTAATAAAAGATTTAGTTTCTCCTTGTGAAAGAACAATGGTTTTAATTCCCTCGTTATTTTGCTGCTCATCCACACTGTAGACCAGAGGAGCCCAAAGTGGGGCCCGCGGGCCAAATTTGGCCCGCCAAGCCATTTGATTTGGCCCACCAGCAGTTGACATTGGTTGTAACCTGACGTCCTATGCAGAAAAAGTATTTCCACTTTGTCTTTTCATCCATTGGCTCAATAACTATAAAGGGCTGTGGTGCAGGTAGTTTTCACTCATGGTTCTGACTTTATCTTTGATATATTAAGATTAAATATGAAATACAAGCAAAAAGTGACATTTAGATTAGATTTAAATGCACATGTAGATTTGCACACGTTATAAGGCATATTTTATCAATTTACGAAATTTCCCATGAACCTTTGCTACTTGAGGATATGGCAGATTTTCTCCAAGTACCCAGACTAAAACAAAAGCAGGCCACCAAACTGGCTGCTGGCTTAATCGTTACAAAATAAAGGACTTTACTAAATTAATATTTGTATTTCATGTATTGTATTACTGCATTTGGTCCGCAGCCCTGGATAGATTCTCATTTTTGGCCCTCTTGGGAAAAAAATGTTTGGGCGCCCCTGCTGTAGAACACTACTGTTGGTATTTTAAAGCCATGACACTAAGAAAAAAACACGTTCAGTCAATAGTTTCAGAGTTAAACTTAGTTAATGTTCAAACCAATTTGAACGAAAGTATACTGAAACCTGACTTAGTTCGCTTTTTTTGGCTCAAAGTTTCCTTCATTTCCGACCAAATGGAAAAAGCTCGAACAGAAAAAAAGGCTGAAAGATAATAAAAACAAGGTAATTGAACAATTAAAGTGCTCAGTTTTAGTTAGCTGTCAGTCCCGTTGGTTTTATTCAACCGTGGGCATGCCCAGACATTCCTCCCCACGAGACAAACTTCCACCAAAACGTTTTTTCTTTCCTTTATTATTATCTTAATATCCCACTTTCCTGAACGCCACACGGACCACCTATTTGTTAACCTTACCTGAGAAATGTCATGGGTGTAAAAAGAGCAAAATGAAAGTTGTCCTGGTCCTGTGAACGGTACCTCCACATGAACTCACTCCGTAACTTAATTCACCAAAGGTGGGCTGAGCTCCTCCTCTTCCTCCTCCTCTTCCTCCTCCTCTTCCTCCCGGAATGAGGTCATGTGCGGGGAGGACCGTGGGCAGCTCAGGGAACAAAGTCCTCCTCCTCCTCCTTCCTCCTCTTCATGCCAGGATGCAGGACATATCTGATACAGTATGCTGCATCACCCAATAATCCACAGGAAATTACCATTACAAAGAAAATAATGTCCTTATGTTTCCTCTTTGCACAGGTATCAGTGAAAATAGGTCATCAGTGATGACGTCACAGCAGTTGGTGCAAAGCAAAAGCGCTTTGTTTACATTGAATGTGGACCCACGTGTCAAAAACTACTGAAATAAATTCTTTCTAAAACTTTTATATTTTCTGTTTTCATCACGTCTTCACATCCAAAATTCAGTCTAGATGTACAGCAGAGCAGAGGTTCTCAAATTAGGGTCCTAGGACTCCCAGGGGTCTGTGAACCACAGCTTAGGGGTCCGCAAAATAAATCAGCTCACAGTAAAATGTATTACAGTAATTCAGTTCAGTTTATTTATTTATATTATTTATAAAATTTTATCATGTCAAGCGAACATATTAAATTAAAAACAACAATTAGTCCATAAAATTATGTTTAAGCACTGAAGCTTTCCATCCAACTGGGCAACAC